CTCGTGTGTGGAGGGTGAGGGCACCGGAGGAGGAGGTGGTGACAACCCGATTGGCACCTTCAAGGGCTTCATCATGGACAAGTGAGAGCATGGGGAATGTGCTAAACAAAGGCGCGCGTTCGGTTCCGTCGTTGTTCTTCGGGTTTTGACATCCAAACCAGCCTGTGTCTAACGACAAGTCCAAGGCTTGCCTTTCCCCCTCGCTACGTTCCGTGGTGTGGTTTCTAAAAAATCAAGAAACTGTGATTTATAAAAACACCCCCTCACCTGGCTTCCTGCCATCCCTCTCTCTTGCTGCCGCACCAACCACCAACCGCGACAAATAAATTGTGATGGGACACAGGTGCCCAGAGTGCCACGAGGGAGACCTGGACTTCGGGACCGGGCTGGACGGCCGCTGGGACATCGAGTGGCGGTTCGTGGCCTGCCCCGGGGAGGAGGTCTCCTTCAAGGTCGTGGAGATGACCCCGTACTACTGGAAGATCCAGCCCCGCGGCACCGCAACCCCGGTCGAGTCGCTCACCATCGGCGGCAGGGCGGCGGCGAGGACCGACGACAACCACTTCGAGCTGGAGCACCCGAGCGGTAACCCGTGGTACGAACCGCAGATGGTGGTGACCACCACCGTGGGAGGCGTTGTCGAGGAGACGGAGATGTCTGTCTAAGGGGAGGAGGGGAGGAGCGTGCTCTCTGGTAAGAAGCGCCGCCTCCCTTCTCCTTGTAGTAGTGGCTGGCTGGCACAACGCAGCTCAGTCCCCCACGTCTTTCGCACCGTGCCGGCCAAACCCCCTATCGATGGCTTTTGAGCTGAGTTTTTTCAGCGGTGGATGGAAGCATTTTAACATTCGACCCAAACGAACCCGGCTTGGCTGTTGATCATGCCTTGCAACGACGGGCTGATGATGATGCACAGATGGGAAGAGCTGTGAAACGGACGCCGTGTATCGGCAGCGGTGGAGCCGAGCGGGTTGCTTGCACGGTACATGTCCTAGGAAATAGCACCATCGCTGTACTTGAAAGTGTTTACAGTGTCTGTTGGTGTGTTGTTCCTTCTTGAGGGCGGGATTATTGGGATATGTGTATCTTACGACATTGAGATGTACTTTTTACAATTTTTTGGAGTATAGGAAAGGGAGGGGTCAAAAGGCCCTTTGACGGTCGTGCACGCAGGCATGGATCAAATGAGTTGTGAACGTCGATCAGGTGCAGGTGTTGTAATCAGATATGTTGGGTATTTCTTGTCGGCGATGCGGTACGATGCGGTAGGTCTTTGCACCGCGTTTTCCCAAACCTGTAGCGTCGAGGACATAACAGGTTCTTTTGCGTTTTTTACATTTCTGCTGGTTTCATCTGCTCGACCTGGCGGCGGAAAATGAGATGAGAGACGCGGCAGTGGATGGGTTGAAACGAATTTCAGAGAGCTTCTGGGCGTTAGGGAGTCTGTAGATTGGCTTGGGTTTTTGAAGGACAAGGATCACACGTGCATGCGTTGTTTGTGGACAAGTATACAAACTCGAAATAAGATTTTGCTGACGTCGTCGGTCGGGTGGAACGGAATGCGTCGCGATTTCCCGAATGACGTGATACATGGATGTTTTTTGAATGTTTCCAGTGACGACGGGTTATAGAGCTAGTTATGGTAGGTGATGACGTGTGACCAGTCAAATTGTCTCGTATACGAAAATGGTTTGTTGCTTGGGCCGGTTTGAGATGATTGATGCGGCCTGTGGTTGATTGCATAGATAGGGTGCTCGTGTGCTTCTTGATGGTGAAAAATTCTCGCTGTTGGTGCTGGGGCTGGCTGCTTGGAACTGGTTCGTGCTCGAAAGAGCATGAAGATGGGAGACGCGGATGGATTCAGTTGCTGTTGTGCTCGTGCTGCCACGGACCCGTGTCTTGTGATGGCCGAGCTGTTTTTGGTGGTATCTTTACTATTGTCCTTACCGTATGCGTTTTTGTCTCCTCTCGCGCTTACGCCCTTTGCAACGACTCGTGCGTGGCTTACGTCGTATGTATCTCGTGTTTTTTTTGCTGGTCGTTATGCTGCTGCATGAAAAAGTAATTTTCTTCTATTGGTCGCGGGTGGATGTGGTTATCAAGTACTCGGTTTCTGCTCTATGGTTGTTCGTGTCTCGTCATTGCCCTCTCTCTTGTCGTTGATCGCGTGCCGCTCTCGTGGCCCTTTTGTCGCTTTCGTTGGTACGTACTTGAAATAGGCAGGGCACCCATAAAATAGGGCGATTTTTTGCAAGACCCTCCCACCAATCACCCGTCGAGTTTGTAAGACATTTTGTAAGACAAGAGACAGATGATTGGGCGATGGGCACGACGCTCTCGGGAGAAAAATCACCGAAATTTGCACAGCAACACCGTACACATCATGTACACCACATGCGATACAACCAGCACAACAGCAGTATACGGATGTTGTAGGACAAGGGCAGCCAAAGGTACATCATGAGAGAGGCGTAGGGTATGACTCTTACAGCCCCATGCTTACTGTCGGCAGCACAAGCGAGTGACGACGCAAGTCAATCCGCGGTCGGTCTGCATCACCCTCAACCTACCGATCTTTGGAGCTTCCCGCACAGGCACATCCCCACAGTAGAGAAATCAAGGCCTACACACTGCTGTAGGCCAAGGCCGGCCAAAGGCACACATGATAGCTGGCGTCTGAAGCTATTTGTAGACCCGTAGACCTACTGCTAGCCACGTAAGCAAGGGAACATGCGTGTGCACACACGTCAGACCCATGTCTGCGGTCTCTCTTCGTCTGCCACCCGATATTATACTTCCACAACAAACGCACCCCGGAAACAGGGACAAGTGAGACGGACACAGCGATATACCGTAATCTACACAAGACACCACACCCTCATAAGATACCACACACCCCCCACAATACCACACCCCGGTGGTAATTTTGGGTGTATTTTTCAGACCATGATTTATCACCGGGGGTACACAAGATACCACACCCCGGTGATAACACAGGTTACGCCGCATACATTCCCTGTCTCTATCACCGGGGGTGAAACAGCATCACACACGCACAGCTTGTACCGTACGGGGGGAGACATGGAGACCTCAGAGAACATGAACGTGCGGGAAGAGCAGAATGCCGCCGCAAGTACATCTGCTTCTCCCACGACTGCTTCGACCGCAGCAGCACAGGCGCCACAGATCACCTCGTTCTTTCAACCCGAGCAGACTTCTACGCAAGCGGC